ATGCTGCCTCCTCCTGCCCCCTATGGCCATGTGAGAGTGGGGTCCTTGCGAGGACCTCACAATCACATGGCCGGGTTACCTGGCTGCTGCATTGCCAGCAGGGGGACTGCCTGTAATGACAGTTAGTCCCCCTGCTGGCTGGAAATCAAATTAAATAAAGTTAAAGTCAGTGTAAAAAAAAAAATTATATACTTAGATCATATATATATGATTATATATTATGTTTCATAGCTAAATATTTGATATTAAATGAAGGCCCTGTTTCCCCTGAATAAAATGATATATAATAAGGGTGGGTGCATTTAATATGAAAGAGGTGAATATACATACACACACATACACTATCTAGGTGTATTTTACTATTAATATATATATAATTATATATATATATATATATATATTTATATCAAAATACACGTAGAATGAAATAATATATATCTATATACATAAATATATACGTATATATCACTATATATATACCTATATATAAATAAAAATATTTTAAAACAATTATATACATATATATATATATATATATATATATACACACACATATGGATATATATACATATATTAATTCTACATATATATTTATGTAATATTTTTACATAATTAGATATTTTAATTAATTACAATTAGCAGGACCTGCCTGACAACCCATTCCAAAAATATAGGGAATTTAATTTGCTAGCACTATATTTAACCCTATAACTTTCCAAGACACCATAAAACCTGTACATGGGGAGTACTGTTTTACTCGGGAGACTTCGCTGAACACAAATATTAGTGTTTCAAAACAGTAAAATGTATTACAACGATGATATCTCCAGTAAAAGTGACTTTTTGCATTTTTCACACACAAACAGCACTTACACGGACGATATTATTGCTGTGATACTTTTTACTGTTTTGAAACACAAATATTTGTGTTCAGCGAAGTCTCCCGAGTACAACAGTACCCCTCATGTACAGGTTTTATGGTGTTTTCAAAAGTTACAGCGTCAAATATAAGGCTTGCGTTTCATTTTTTTCACATAAAAATTCGCCAGATTGGTTACGTTGCCTTTGAGACCCTATGGTAGCCCAAGAATGAAAATTACCCCTATGATGGCATACCATTTGCAATAGTAGACAACCCAAGGTATTGCAAACAGGGTATGTCCAGTCTTTTTTAGTAGCCACTTAGTCACAAACACTGGCCAAAATTGGCGTTTTTTGCATTTTTCACACACAAACAAATACTAAGGCTAACTTTGGCCAGTGTTTGTGACCAAATGGCTACTAAAAAAGACTGGACATACCCCATATGCAATACCTTGGGTTGTCTACTATTGCAAATGGTATGCAATTATGGGTGTAAATTGCATTCCTGGGCTACTATACAGTCTCAAAGGCAACATGACCATCTGGCGAATTTCAATTTCAAATGTAACGTGCTATATTTGACCCTGTAACTTCCCAAAATGCCATGAAACCTGTACATAGGGGGTACTATTTTACACGCGAGACTTTGCTGAATACAAATACGTGGATTTTATTGCGGTAAAAGCAAACAGTATTACGACATTGACAGTTAAAATGTCATGTAGAACTAAAAATGAACAAAATTTCTTATTTTCTCCCATTTTTTTCATATTAAATTATGTTTCATAGCTAAATATTTGATATTAAATGAAGGCCCTGTTTCCCCTGAATAAAATGATATATAATAAGGGTGGGTGCATTTAATATGAAAGAGGTGAATTACGGTTGGACAGACATGTAGCGCAAATGCCAGGTTTTGTTTACATTTTGTTTTGTTCACAGCGTGTTTATTTGGCTCAGTCCTGAAGGGGTTATTATATCAAAGTTGTTCTATTTGATGTTTAAAATATAGATTTTTTAATTTGGGGCTCAAAAAATAGGGGTCATCTTATACATTGGGGCGTCTTATACATGGAAAAATACGGTATATAGCGCCAACATATTCAACAGCGCTTTACAATAATACAGAGAGATATAACAGATTTATTCCTCAATGCTGGGAGTACAAGTCACCGAGATATCAACATCACAGACATGTCACATATTAGTTACCCATAAACAGAACCCACATGTATTGGTGTTATTGCCCTGCAAGAGTATTGGTACTGGAGAGTGAAGAGACATTAACAGGGCTATTTACTAGAGTGAGAAATCAATGTTAATTTCACATTTGAGGCCCAAGTAGCCAATCTGAAAGCATAGCTAATAAAAAAATTGGCAGTTAGAAGCCCTTACCAGTCTAACAAACCTGTCAGCCCATGTCTATTTTTTTTTTTTTGCCTTCTTTTCTGCAGCAACTGAAGACAACCCAGAAATTGGATTTTGGTTATCTAGACATTCAGTCTGTATAAAAGACTTACTGACTGTGAGTGACACTGGAGGACTTGTGACCGTACTACTTTTTTTTTTTTAAATTCTTTATTTTGGTTGTGCATGCATATACGATAGAATACAGGCAAGCCTATGATATGTCACATTAGCATAGGCAAGCTTCCATAAACACAAACAATGCAATATATGACATATGAGGAACATGCACAGTTTTTTTTTTTTTGGTCAAACAAGCTTCAACATTCTATGTGAACAGGTAGGTAACAGATGAGACTTGCACATTTTTAGGATATGAGTAGAAAGGAGGTGATCATGTCACTATACATAGTGTGAGATTTAAACATGTTTAAGGGCAGGTCTCACAAGCAATAACAAGATTGGTATAAACAGTTTTGTGGCCTTGGAGCGAAGTTACATGTCACGGTTCCACCAGTAGCATATAATAATACAGGTTGTAGGGTATCCATGTTAATCTATGATAGTCAAACAATAGTGGTAGTAACTTGTTGCTCCTGTTAGTTAGCTTATGAGAGATAAATGTTAGCATAGATTTTTACGCCTATATCTGCATATATATGGTTTGTACTGACAGTAGCTAACAAGTTGCCTTTAAGGCAGTAGTGACCGTACTACTTTTGTGAGATCCTATCAGAACTCAGGCACTTTGTTTGAGCTAATTATTGTCAAAACGTTTCCAGTGTCCTGTGATTATCATCTGGTGGCTGGAATATTGATCACTTGAGCTTCTGACCTCTCATTAAATATGTATGGCCCTACACAAGCCACTAGAATGCCAGGCCTTACAGAACCACTGAATACAAAGGAAACAATTCACTTCCAAGGTAGGAGTAACCCCATAGGTGAAACCTGTCACCAATATCCACCTGGACAAGGTCCTAGGATCAGGTGAGAACACAGACATGCAAGAGCCCTGTTACATTTCATGATGTGCTTGGTAGCAGTGTGCGTTACTCTTTTTGTACTCTCTAATATTTGTCATTCTTTGCTGACAGTATGTGTGTACTCTGTGTGTCATTCTGTGCTGATAGTGTTACTCTGAATACTCTTTTGTATGTGCCAATCTTTGCTGACAATATGTGTTACTCTTTGTGTATTATCTTGTATGTGTTAATCAGTGCTTACTGATAATATGGTACTTTTTTTTCTGTATTCTGTTATGTGTGCCACTCTGCTAACAGTGTGTGTTACTCTTTGTGTACTCTTTTATGTGCCATTCTGTGCTAACAGTGGCTTTTACTCCTTTTTTATACTCTCTTGAATGTTGCTTACTGATAGTGTGTGTTACTCTTTGTGTACTCTGTCTGTGCTTCCTGACACAGTGATGTTCACTGGACTGTTTTCTGTGTGTCATTCTGTAATGAATGCCATTGTGTATTATTTTAATGTATTATTATTATTATTATTATGTAGGTACATACAGTTTGTCTTGCGTCAGTTACATGGACTGTATATTATGCGTATTTTTCAGAGTTTCTTGACCTACTACTGTAGGGTATCTATTGTGTATTGTTCTGTGTATTCCCCGTGTACTGTTTTTTAATATGCACTGGCAGTTTGTATGGTTCCATATGGACTGTCTGTTGGGCTGTGCATACTGGGTGGCTTAGCTTTTATAGAGCCTCTATGGCATAGGTGTTACTCTGTGATATTTTGTGGGTAATAACATTATTTATTGCTCTTTATAAACTGCCTACTGAGTTTGCTATTCTGTACTTTCTGTCAATTTGTGTTATATTACACTGTTTATAGTGTGTTATATGTGCTTATAGCCTGCATGAGTTACTCTATATGCACAGTCTAAGTGCATATGGATTGTACATTCTCTTGTGTATGTTTACTATTGTTTGTGTGAGTTGTTTTGCTTGCACTCTGTGAATTGTAAATTATGTATGTTATTCTGTTTGTGGTATATTTCTGATGATATTTACTGTCTATTGAGTGTGTTGCTCTGTATTATTCCATACATTGTGTTATATTGTTAATCTCTTTGTGCTGTATTATGCTATAGAGTGCTGTATATTGTTTGTTACTTTCTTTGTACTGTATTACTCTTTAATTGCTGTATATTATTCATTACTGGTTTGGTACTGTATCAATGTGCTGTCTATTGTGTATTTGTACTGTATAATTCTGTTGTGTAAATTGTGTTACTCTCTTTGTATTGTTCTATAATTGTTGTTTATTGTGTTTTATTCTCTTTGTACTCTATTGTGTTACTCTCTATAAAAAGGAATACACTGAACACCAAAACCAATACAGCCCACTATAGTGGCTATAGTGCCAGGAGTCCCAGTGTAATTTGTCAAACCGTTGTAGACATTTTGAGAACTTACATGTTTCCTCTGTGTTCAGTGTATTGTGTATATGCAGTGTGTATATGACCCTAAGTGCATCACTCTGTGTATGCTTTGTAATATTTGTGTATGTATGTGTGCACTCTGTATATGTATGTACTGTTTCCTGTGTTGTTTGCACTCTGTCCTGTGTTGTGTGCAATGTGCCCTATGTTGTGGGCATTGTATCGTGTTTTGTGCACTGTTTCCTGTGTTGTGTGCGCTGTTCCCTACGTTTTGTGTGCTGTTCCCTACATTGTGTCCTGTATTGTGTGCACTGTGCCCTATGTCCTGTGTACTGTTTCCTGTTTCCTGTGTTGTTTGCACTCTGTCCTGTGTTGTGTGCGCTGTGCCCTGTGTTGTGTATGCTGTTCCCTATGTTGTGGGCACCGTGTCCTGTATTGTGTGCCCTGTGATGTGTGGATTGGGTCCTGTGTTGTGTGCATTGTGTGCACTGTGTTGTGCATTGTGTCCTGTGTTGTGTGCATTGTGTCCTCGGTTGTGTGCACTGTGCTGTGCATTGTGTCCTGTGTTGTGTGCATTGTGTCCTCTGTTGTGTGCACTGTGCTGTGCATTGTGTCCTGTGTGTGCACTGTGCTGTGCATTGTGTCCTCTGTTGTGTGCACTGTGTCCTCTGTTGTGTGCACTGTGCTGTGCATTGTGTCCTCTGTTGTGTGCACTGTGCTGTGCATTGTGTGCACTGTGCTGTGCATTGTGTGCACTGTGCTGTGCATTGTGTCCTGTGTTGTGTGCACTGTGTCCTCTGTTGTGTGCACTGTGCTGTGCATTGTGTCCTCTGTTGTGTGCACTGTGTCCTCTGTTGTGTGCACTGTGCTGTGCATTGTGTCCTTTGCTGTGTGCACTGTTCCATATGTTGAGTGCACTATGCCTTGTGCATTGTGCCCTGTATTGTGTGCATTCTGATTTGTGCACTGTGTCCTATGTTGTGTGCACTGTGTATTTTTCCCACCAGCAGCAGCCGTTCAGTGTGAGGCTCAGTTTATCTCTCTGGAGCATGCAGGGGACTCCAGGAGTAAGTGCTGCAGGCTGCTAAGGGTTAAAGAGTACAGCACTTCTATAGGACTGGAGAGAAGAGAGCTGCGCTGATTGGTGGGAAGTTTTCAGGTGGGCGTGTCTTCTGCTCTGCTCTGCGGTCCCCTTGAATCACAAAGCCTGCGGGTTAGCGCACTGCAAGGCTCATCCTCTATGTACCCGGGATCACCCTGAGCAGCCACCCGGGGAGAGTCACCCTGAGCAGCCTCCTACCAGGGATCACCCTGAACAGCCACCGGGGGAGAGTCACACTGAGCAGCCACCCGGGCAGAGACAGCAGGAGCCATCAGTAGGAACCCAGACTGGATACACAAGCAGGGACCTGATTAGCCTGGAACCATCATCAGCAGGGAACTAGCCAGGAGCCACAGCCAGGAGCCATCAGCAGGGACACAGCCAGGAGCCATCAGCAGGGACCTAGCCAGGAGCCACAGCCAGGAGCCATCAGCAGGGACCTAGCCAGGAGCCACAGCCAGGAGCCACAGCCAGGAGCCATCAGCAGGGACCCAGCCAGGAGCCACCAGCAGGGACCCAGCCAGGAGCCACAGGCAGGAGCCATCAGCAGGGACCTAGCCAGGAGCCACAGCCAGGAGCCAACAGCAGGGACCCAGCCAGGAGCCATCAGCAGGGACCTAGCCAGGAGCCATCAGCAGGGACCCAGCTAGGACCCTCTGACAGAAGACAGCCTGGATACCCCAGGGTACAAAGCAGTGCTCGGCTTCTAGAATTCTTCAATAAGAGTGTGGTGTTTGTGTTCAGCAGTGAAAGGCAGGGCAGCTGCTGGATTTACCCCCTGTCTGGGGCACAGGCAGTCTTTACACCTAAACTGCTGGCCATTGTGGAAATCTTACTAATGCACAACCTCCTGCACTTCTAGCCCCACATACCCCCTGGACGGGCATCTGCTGGGCAGCGAGGGGCTGATTGTGCCCTCTGGATCTGATGAGAAGGAGCTCATGGGGCAGCAGACAGGGCTATTGGATGCCCAGTGACCGTGTTAGGGTTTAGCAGACTGAGAACCTGATTGACTTAGACACGTTGGAGGTGAGTTCAAATATTAATTTCTGTATTTCCTTTATTCATCTGATATCAGCTCTGGCTCCTAACAGGTTATTTCGGGTGGATTTTAACTCATTGTTATACATTTAATACTCGTAGTGGACCTCTTTTGGCCTTTGTACTTTTTGTGTGAATATGTCTTCCTTCTCCTTAAATTGGCTGACACTGGTGCAGGACTCACCTACATTTGTATTTAATCAGATTTTTATTTTAAATATGGTAAAATTTATACTTTCATATTTTAGCATCAGTAGTTGGGCTTAGTTGGTAGCCTCTCACGTGCTGTCACACTATCACAATCTCACCGTAAGGTAAACTTTTTGAAATAATATATGTTTTGGACCATGCGATATGTCATGCATTGGAATGCATTATATAGATTAGCACGTGTATATGAAAAAAGCCATAAAGGAAGTCATACATATTAGAGATACTTGTGATCTCATAATATCCCAAGGGTCTGTAATAAAAACAAATGGGTATAATAGTGTTTCTGTTTTAGTAGTTGCTGCATATTAATTCATAATTATCTCGTGTTACTGTATGTCACCTGGACTACTACATATTGCATATGTTTATGTTAGTTATTAGAAATTACTAAATTGTACATTTGGTCAGGTGTATACTTTATAAAATGCATTTTTTTTTTGTTTTTGTTTTTAACAAGAGTTACTAGTTGATACATAGTACAGTGTTTATTTAATGCTTAAACACATCTCAATATGGTGTTATTGTGTATCAACACATATAATATCAACCATGTTTGATACTATATGGAATTCTGCACATGGTTTATATTCCAATCAAGTCAGCACTTCTATCATATGTTTAGAAAATAATCATAATTGTTATACGTCATGGTTTTAAAATACATAATTATGTGACATCAGATGTATACCGTAATTCCTAGACATGCTACTTTTTTCCTCTCATTAAGTAGTGGTTCTTTTCTTTCTAAATGTAAGTCCTTTCTCCTATCAAAATGTTCTACCTACCTATAGCATATTCCAGCTTTTCTCAGCTGAGGTGTCTAAACTATGTTCCCCTTGAAATGTATTTCACACACATCTGGAGTGCGAAGGTTTGCCATTGTTGTCCTTAACCTCTTAAGGACCAAACATCTGGAATAAAAGGGAATCATGACATGTCACACATGTCATGTGTCCTTAAGGGGTTAAACAACAATTGCTGTTTTAGTGGAATTTTTTTTGTAGCCTTCAATGTATTACTTGCTAAGTATGGTCACCTTTGCTTTAAAGCAGGTAAAAAGATAAGGAGTCAAGTTTTGTTCATATACATTTGACAATTTTGCCCTATACTTTTTTATGAAAAATAAAGCACCTATCATTGAATTGTTTTTAGTAATAAAATGTAAAAAAAAAAAAAGCTCTGAAACAGGTGAATACATTTTTAAATTGTAATTTGGCAAAACTGAATCTAATGCTGTCACACTAATTTTATCACTGTCCTGTAGTTTTCTTTTTCCATAGGGGTCTCTGTTAAAGGAGAAGTATGATTTCAATGCCTTACATGGCCAAAAACTGAGTTTATTCTTTAAATCCCAGGAAAATAATGGAGGAGAGAGCCTATAAAAATGGCATTCATTTACTGATATATGTGCGGTTACTTCGCCAAAGAGGTGTAGAAGGCTGTCAATGCAGTCTTTTATTTCAGTTTATCAATATGACTTGCATACTGGTACACCCCAGCACATGGGTCTATTTTTACTCCAGTATTTGCACAAGAAGATTGATTTTGACAGTTTCACTCTTAACCTCCAAAAGGTGCTCCACAACGCGCCTTAGGCCAGTCTGGCAAGAAATTAGTTAAGGGCCCCGCTGTTAAATTTGTAAGCCAAATACAAGATGTAATTATTTAACTTGTTGGATTCAATACAAGGATTGTTGTGTATCCCCAGGGGTAGAAAGCATTTAGATCAAGCAGTTTACATGAGCTGGGAATTCTGACACTGTTTAGAGAGTGAGAGTAAAGTAGAGAATTTAGGTGTAATTAATACACACCTTTGGGCTGTCTTGCGTTTCATTTATAAATCCTAATTTTCCTTGACATCTGTGTTCTCTATGTAATAGTATCTGACTTTTCACTGTCAAATACACAGTTGCATGAACGCAGAGTCAATTGGGTCAGTTTTTTTTAATTGTTATGGCCAGCAATCAAGAGATACATTTTTCTTTTAAGAATATTGTTTTTTTGTAACTGACTTAAATTTGTTTTCTAATGTTTATGTTATGAGCAACAGTAGATATAAAGAATTACCGCATATAACAACCCTTTAATCTCCCAATAATGTCAAGGTTTTAATAAGGTACCTATGTTGTCTAGCATTTAAAGTTGGGTTTTGTCCTGAACCTAGACAAATCTAAAGCCAAAAATGTGACACACAAAGCAAAATTGCTGTAACATCTCAGACAATTTTTACCTATTCGGATTTGTATTTTTTATCTATAAAGCGCCAACATACTCCCTAGTGCTGTACAGTGTGGGGGATGACACAAACAAGAAAATTCAACAATATATATTTAATTTACATGAATATGAGGTAGTGAGGGTTGTGCTCAAATAAGTGGTATGTGTTTGTAGAATACATCTTCTTGTAGCAATTGACTGATGGCAACATTTATTTTTATTTTTTTTAGGAATCTATTGGTCATTTATTGGTATAATCCCTCCCAGAATGGAATACCAGTTTGCATTCCTCATAATGGGAATAATTGCATTTTCCGACTCAGCAAGAGGTAAGTTTTAATTGCAAACACGTCTTAAGATGTCTCCTGTGGTCAAATGTTTATTTTTATAAGGTAAAGACTTGCATTCCTTAAATACCCACATATTGTCTCATCTCCTCCATCATTACTTTGTGGCATGTTCTGTGTGGACATAGCAGATGTGGACGTTCTACCAAGGAACCTTTTATTTATTTTGCTGGTGGACTGAAGGCCCAGACCTGTACCTTGAAAAGTTAGTTTAGCATTACTAAAACATTGACTCTAGGATGGATTTAAACAGCCTCCACCAATCTGTTCTCCCTTTAAAAAAAAACAAAAAAACCCTGACCCGCTCCCTCTATCTTGGTAATCCAAGCAATCAATTCTAGTAACCTCCCCAGTGGCAGCCAGTTGACAGTTTCCAACAGCCTGAACCTACTTTTAATCTAGCCTTTGTGTAAACAGTAAGGGGGCAGTTGGATGAGGTGATTGGTGTTATCTTAGTGGAAGCTAAGCACAAAATGTTTTACGATATTTACACATTGGAGTGCTAAATACCTTCTTTATATGTTTATTGCTTGGAAGGCGAGAATATCTTTGGGATGTGCTTTATGCATGCAAAGAGTTAATTGGTATTCAGCATGGCTTAAAAATTCATTTTA